AACACACTGTCAATTTTAAAGAAGAGCCCACATGAAAACGGCTCTACTTACGCAAGGTAGCCCAAGATTAGAAAACGGCATTTTGTGTAAGCAGATCACACTGTTCACCAATGTTGGTCAACTGAAGATAATTAAAAAGAGCATAAGCTTCAATTTTAAAATATGCAGCTAAGCCACATAACCTCATATTTTTTTACAGGAATATACATTTCAATTTTCTTATATACCCCTATAAGTAAAATGAGAGATGGCTTGTCAGATCTAAAAATTAGCTTTCAGTAAGAAGAGTGGTTTTTTTTCTTTTCTTTTAGTGTGTCTTATAATTGAATTACAATAACCACTTTCTGATTTGGTGAGTATTTCTATTCTCCATAAAGAGAATACCAATATTGAATATTTTCAAGCATTCAAATATACACATTGCTTCACTGAAATTAATATTATTGGATATAATATTAAGGCATTTTTTCCAAGTGAATTCACAAGACATTTCAAGCATCACTAATCTCCAGGAAATTTTGACAGCTCTGCGTTGATGATCCATACGAAACATGCAAGAGACAACTCTGATACCAGGCAAAGCAGGAGGAAATGAAAGAGGTGCAGCAAGTTAATCCCCAATGTCTTCGAGTGGTGGGCCTCCGGGAACCCTAGCACCCCTGCTAACTCACCGGGACATCAGTCTGAGGCTGCCCTGAAGCAGAGAATTATTTTATAGGCAAACCATCGGTATGTATCATTTGTGTTTTATGCATTGATTACACACAACCTTACTCTGATGTCTTAAGTCTATGTATTTGACTTTTGCTTCCAGGAGTTCAATTCTCGATTGCCCATTATAAGAATAAAAGTCTATCATTGACTTAATATAAGATCAAATTTAAATGACACTTTACACTCTTTAAATGACAAAATATTAAAATGTTATATAAAGTATAGTTTGTTTTACATTTAAGATATCATTTCCTCTTTGCAAGGATATAGCTGAACTTCAGCCTAAGAATTTTATATATAATATTAAAAACTGATGATTTTTATAAAAGCCTGGAGCTATAAAACAATAAAAGAACAGCAATTCTAAAAACAGTACAACTGCTATCATCTTGTTAAGAAAAGCAAGTATTTCAGAGTCTTTACTCATTTCACACCTCCTCCCCAAAAAAAGTTTACAAGAGGAAACAAATGAAACATAGTTTAAGCGCATGAAGGTAGATGCCCCAAAGTGGTTCATTTTGGCAATTTACATGATTTTTTTTAAGTTGTACAAAACATGTATCCTCTCCACCTTTGAATACTGATGCATTCATTTTAGATCATAATGTCTGGGCAGAATAATTCTGAGGGTTATACAATTGATTTGCAGAGTTTTGAGCACTAAAGGGGCAGCTTACTGTTTGGATGGCTCAGGACCAGTCCGTTCTTCCCGGTTCGTCATCTCTCCGGGTGGCTCCATGGGAGGGAGGACGACAGCAGCACCCGAGAGGAGCGAGTAGTCAGAGTCTTCCCGGCACACTGGAGTTTAAGTAAGTCATACTGTGAGTGTCAAAAGCATTTACAATTCTTCTCCCTTCCCTTCTTCCTTCTTAACATTTTCAGTCAAATAAGATGATTAATCAACTAAAATACTAACATTGTCTTTAATTATTATCTTGTACTCTAAATCCTTCCATTCACTTAGTGCAAGACTTTGGCTGGTTCCTTTTTTAATAAGACATACAGTGAAAAAGAAATCGCTTTATATTTGTCCACACTGGATAGTTCAGTATACTTAAAAGGAAAGAAAGAATGTTTTTGATATAAAAAAAATGACATAAACACAAAAAAACTGCACAACATGCTTGCAGAGAAGGAAACTTTCACAATACGAGCAGAACATTTAATCTGCATCCAGATAAGT